GGAAAGAGACAATTTGAGGAGTTTAGGGAGAGGCTCCTCTACCCCACATCTCCACTTCCCAAGTTGATGAGGAGCAGGGGATCCCCAAGGAAGACACTGCAGGAGGGTCATGTGGGGTGAATGAAAGTGCCCTTTTCCAATGCCTGGGGCCTTCTGCCATCACAAATAGAAAGCTATATTAAAAAAAAAAAAGAGGCAGAAAAAAGCAGCCAGCTTCTGGAAGAACAGATGAGGCTTAGGCACGCTCAGTTGCCATTTGCTCACCTCTGGCTTCCAGCCAGCTGTGGGGAACATTTTCTGTACAAAACTGGATTTCTTTCGGTTGTCAGAATAATTATGTTGCGCTCGTTCAATTACATGGCACATGTTTGCTCCTCTGCTCCCCCCGGCCAGCGCTCCACACGTATGTGAGGCAGCGCAGCCCTGGCACAGGCCCTGCAGGAGCTCAGATGCCCTCTGCCGGCTCCGTCGCCTTCGGCTGTGGGCCAGACGGTGCCTGTCCACCCCACAGAGGTGAGTACCTGTTCTGGAAGGAGGTCTGGTGGTCAGTCAGGACCACGCCGGGGATGTGCCGGGCACGAAGGAAGCGCTGGAAGGAAGACGGAGGAAGAGGCTGGGAAAATCCAACTTCCTGCAAAGTCACGTTTGTTCCGATGCTGCTGTTGCTCAGAATATCCAGCAAGTTTCTGATCTGAAAGAAGAGACAACGGCACCATTCAGCTATTTTTTGGGGGGTATGCTTTCTCTGGAAAGGTTAAAATCCTGATCATGTGCAGGGTGTGAAAGATCCCACAGCATTTTGGTTAGATGAGCCGCTGCAGGTTGCTATTACCTGCACTTCAACAGTTTCATTCATTCGAGAAACGGGGTCTGTGTGCATCCATAAAGTGGAGTTGGTCCTCAGAGCCACCTGCAAGAGAAAGGAAACACTGTAAGAAACACATCACCGAGTGTTGCAGAGCAGGGAAGTTCAGCCCAGGGAAAAATCCCAACCCGTGGAAGGCCAGCTGGGAAAACCACAGCGAAATGATCAGAGAAACAGGGGATAAAACGGTCCCCTAACTTAACCCACACCTGATTCAACTCCACAAACGAATGGATGTTGTCCAAGCGGAGAGGAAATTTGTCCCTTTCCATATCGTACACCATTCGTGAGCTGCCGATGTAATCAAAGGTCTCCTGCAACAGAAAAAAACCACAGAGCGATCACATACAGAGAGCTGTTTGCTGCCACTAAAAGCAGTGCCTGAGAGGGTGAGGTAGAACAAAACCAAGTGTCTGTGGGCCAACTCCTGCACTGAGTATTGCTGAAGGTTTGTGCAGCCTGGCACATTGTCCCTGGCTCCAAAGACAAAGGTATTGTAGGCAAGGACGGAGCAAAGCACAAAAATGAAGGCAAACAGCCAAAAACCAGGGGATAGCTATGGAACAAGAAAGCCAGAGAGGCAAAGTCAGATCGCTCTGGCACACGTCACCCTCTTTGTTTTAGGGCGAGGAGCAGAGCAAGCCAGGGAAAAGGGCAATTCTCCATTCCAAGAAATAAATATCAGGAGCTTTCCCGAAAGGAGGGGTTGTCTGCTTCTCTTGGAAATAAAGGGAGGGAGGGCAAGAGGGCAGAGATGAGTTTGTGAAGGCAGCTGCAAGAAGCTGAGCATCGCCTGGGGATGAACGGGTGCCCCTCAGCACAGCATCCCCGCAACAGAGAAGGGCACTGGAGTCAGCCAGGCACCACACTTCCCCCTTGCTGAATTTACAGCCAAGTCTTATCACTCCTCCTACGTCCTGGGAGCGTGACAGACCCCGTTCGCTCCACAGCGCTGTATGTCTGCCTCCCCCGGGGAAATTTTGACTGGGGATGTATGCGCTGAGGAGGGGGGAACGAGGGGAATCACACACCACAGCACGGGGCTGTGGGAGCCAGCTTCACAAAGCTGCACAAAAGAAGCCATCAGTGGAGATGCCTTGAGGGGAACATCAGCTGTTGGCCATCAGTCCCTCCTCCACAAGCTTGTTCTGCTTCTCCACAGCTGCCAACTCCAGCGCTGGGCTCTCAGATATGAGCTACATTTCGCTGCTGTCAACACATATATTTTTAATCTAGCCTTTTCTGGGCTCCGTTTCAGGATTTAAAGCCTGGCCATTGCAGTTCATCCTGAGCTGGGGTGAGAACAGCCATACAGACAGGAGGGAAAGCAAAGTTTGAGCCATTCATCCACAGTGAGCTGTGGGGCTGGATATGGGCTGCCCCAGTGGAAGCTCCATCTGCTGTCGTTATCCCAGTGCAATTAAGCTCCCGTTCTCACTGGGGGAGCAGAGAGAACCACGGTGTGGGGATGCAGACAAATGACAAAGAGTGGGGATCAAGTTCATTTGCGGGGAGCCTAGGGCTGATTTGCTATCTCGGCACAAGCCAAACGGTGGAGCGATGCCACCGCTCTTACCCCTTGGAAGAAGGTGAACATGATGTTCCTTTGCAGCAACTGCACATCTGATGCTTTATGAAGGGCTTCAGCAGCAGCCAAGTGGGTCACAAAAGAAGAGACGGCGCTCTCTGCCCCAGGTGCGATGTTCCAGAAGAAGGAATGGCTGTCGATCTGCGAGCATGAACAGGAGGTGTCAGAAACGTGCACAGACACAGAGCAAAACTGCACTGGGAAAGCAAATCGATCACCTCTCTCCTATCCCCCTCATCCCGCTGCTAAGGGCAGAACCGAAGCACCCTGGCTAATGACATTTAAACACCAATTGCCTTGCTGGGGCAGCCCTGAGGCCTCAGAGCTCTGCCACTGCCATTCCCCACTGGGCCTTGGTCTGAAAACTGAGATTATCGAGGGTGCCGTAATTTTAACGCTGGCATCGCTGTTCAGCACGAGCCCCTGCGACGGTGGCAAAAAGGAGCTGGGAATTTGCATCTTTGGAGGGCGTAGAGTGACTGTAAAACAAATCGTGAGACAGGGAAACGAGCTTCTTTCTCAGCTCTGACACACACCAAGATCTCCGTGAGATGCAGCCTCCCCCTCCCCAGAAATGCAGATGAGCCAACCACGCTGTCTCTCTCTCTCTGCAACACGTCTGAAGGATGTGAAATATCTTAGGAAAACATAACAGATACGCTATTTCTACTCGTCTGGTTCCACCAGTGACGAAAACGCTGAAGAAACTCTCGCATAATAAGACAGAAAGAAACAAAACGAAGATGTTTTTATATTGAAACAGGAGGTAAAAATAGAGAAAACCACCAACTGAAAGGCTCATAGCCAGTCAGGTCTAAAAGAAGGTTTGGAACAGGGGGAAAAATTAAAATATGAGAGTTTATTCCTGTAAGAATAAGCCCACATCTTCCCAGAATCCTTCCAGTCCATGCCTTAAAAGATTAAGAGGTACCTACTCGCGTAGCGACAAGAATCACTTCCTTCTCAGGATCAACTTTCCCAGAGGAGTTGATGGGCTGCAAGGTGCTCCACACGTTGAAATCAAGAAGAGGATCGCACAAGATCTCTAGGAAAGGGAAAAAACAGCAACAAATAAGTGCTGGCAGAGCATTCACTGGGATTTCTACTCATGTTCACATCATCTGGGCTGCAAGGTGCTCCACACGTTGAAATCAAGAAGAGGATCGCACAAGATCTCTAGGAAAGGGAAAAACAGCAACAAAAAAGTGCTGGCAGAGCATACACTGGGATTTCTACTCATGTACACATCATCTAACAGAGCAGTAACCTCAGAGGTGTTCTGGATGATCTCTGTAGCAGGTATTAGGTATCTACCTCAGCCAGCATCTCTTCTACAGATTATTTTCCAAACAAGCATGCCCCCAAATTCCTCACCACTTCAACAGCTTATTCTGAGCAGGCTCAGTTGGCAAGCAAGCCTTCAGGGAAACTCCACAATGCTCTTTCTTCTGCACAACTGCGTTCCACTGGGGCTTTTCCCCCCAGCCCAATCCCACACCACGTCAAGGAAAGAGGCGTCTGCTCACCTGGGTTGATGCTGAAGGTGCTTTGCAGGGAGCTGCGCCTCATGCAGGTAACGGTGCTGGTGACTGCGTGCATGTGGGAGAAAAGCTGCATGGCACAGAGGGGGTACTCGGGGGCAGATCCATCACGAGGGACGTTGTGGTCTTGGTAACACTGGATGGAGAGGGAAATCAGTAGAAAAATGAGCATTTCTTTAAAGGCACATGGAATTGGACATTTTTACTGCAGATTTCAGTATCTAAGAGGAGTGAAAACAAAACTACTGCCCCCTTCTCTGAACCGTGCAGGAGTTGAAGTGCAGTACCTGCTTGATGACTTGAGTCTCGTTGGCATCTTCAAGGAGGAAAATAGGGAAGTCAAAGTCCTCATAGGAAAGCCCGCTCCCCACCGGATTCCACACGGTCCTGTTGCAGTGCGCAAACTGCGGGCCATAATCTTTGGAATAGACACCTGGAAACGGAGAGGAACGGGCAAATGTGAGCCTGCAAGAGAATAAGCCAGCAGGAAAGGTAGGGCCTGCTGAGATAACAGCAGCAAAGACAGAATGAGGACCATTACGGGCCTGATAAAAGCTGGGAGAGATGGATTCGGTCACTGCATGTGGCAGAGCAGCAGAGGCAGAGCCCTGCGCCACGCAGAGAGAATGAAACACGCTTGCTCAGAGCCATCCCATGCCAGGAGCTGGCGCGAGCGCTCGGCGAGCGTTTATCACACACTGGGAGAGAGGAGGAGGCACGCAGAGAAGCATCGTACTTCAAAAGAACAACGTCCAAACCCGCATCTCCCGAGCTCATCACGCGCTGGGAGCGCCCCTAAGGCAGCCCTAACACACAGAATCACACAGAACGTGAGGGATTGGAAGGGACCTCCAAAGCTCATCCAGTCCAATCCCCCTGCCGGAGCAGGAACACCCAGATGAGGTTACACAGGAAGGCGTCCAGGCGGGTTTTGAATGTCTGCAGAGAAGGAGACTCCACAACCTCTCTGGGCAGCCTGGGCCAGGGCTCTGTCACCCTCACTGAGAAGAAGTTTCTTCTCCAATTGAAGTGGAACCTCCTGTGTTCCAGTTTGTGTCCGTTACCCCTTGTCCTATCATTGTTTGTCACCGAGAAGAGCCTGGCTCCATCCTCGTGACACTCACCCTTTAAATATTTCTAACCATGAATGAGGTCTCCCCTCAGTCTCCTCTTCTGCAAACTAAAGAGCCCCAGCTCCCTCAGCCGCTCCTCAGAAGGGAGATGCTCCACTCCCTCCATCATCTTTGTAGCCCTACGCTGGACTCTCTCCAGCAGTTCCTGTCCTTCTTGAACTGAGGGGCCCAGAACTGGACGCAATATTCCAGATGCGGTCTCACCAGGGCAGAGTAGAGGGGCAGGAGAACCTCTCTGCCCTACAACCACCCCCCTCCTGATACACCCCAGGATGGCATTGGCCTTCTTGGCCACAAGGGCACAGTGCTGGCTCATGGTCATCCTGCTGCCCACCAACACCCCAGGTCATTTTAACACAGACTGCTCAAACAGCGCGAAGGCAAAGATGTGATACAAGCCAGCAAACCAAACTCAGCTCGGGAGCATGCACAGCGTCCTTCGCAGCTTTGGGAAGCTACAGAAGGGGGTGTGATTTCTCCCCTCGAAGCTCAAGGCGGTAAATTTGCTGCTTGAACAAACAGCGAAGTGAAAACCTGGCCGAAACCACAGGGGGAGCTCGGGGAGGCTGAATGCGATCTTAAAAAGCAGTGAGCGGCCCCGACAGAGAGGCTGAGACGGGCTCCACTCAATCTTTGCACACACAAGGAGCTTTAACCAACACGGGTGGACGAAGCACGAGTTCCTCACACTCAAGAAAATGAACTTGCAACAGTCAGGTCAGGTTTAACTCTTAATGACTTAATGCTGTTCTAGCCAGCTCATCTAATAGACTTTTCCAAACATCCCTCCCAGCCCCTGCTGAGGGCTGAGATTTCAGCTCTGAAAGAACACGTTGAGCCTCTCAAACACCATTTTGACATTAAAAAGTAGCTGCAACTTCAGCTACCCTGGGCACTGCTTTCTTTGACCGTACAATGTAAGGGCAGCATTTTTCTTCCTCCCAGAAAGGAGCAAGGGTTCACATTTCCTTACCAAAGCCGTCATTGGGGCACTTCAAACCAGGGGAGAATCCTTCGGCAGGGCTGGGTTTGGCAGGAGCCACAGCGAGGCCTGACACTCGTGAGGTTCCCTTCAGCTGCAGCATTACCCTCCTGAATGGTGAAAACACAGAAAACCACCCCATGTTTCAACTTCAACACATTTCAGTGCAGCCGGGTCTGATTCTGCCATCTGCCACTTGGAAAAATGACATTTTCACCACCAGATCAGGGACCTGTATTGGTCTTGCAGGGTCCTGTCACCCTGGGAAGATAAAACCTGGTGACTACTGACCTGGTGAAGAGGTTCCCATCCAGCAGGATCATGTAGGGTGGGTGTGGGCCATCAGCAAGCACCCAGTTCAGGTCCTCCTCCTTCTCCACCACATGGATCACCCCCGTGTCGCCGCTGATGGAGGCTGCGGAAAGAGAGTGTGTCCTGATAACCCTTCAGGGAAGAAGTTTTCCCAAATATCCAACCTCACCCTTCCCTGGCACAACCTGGGGCCATTTCCTCTCATCCCGTCACTTGTTCCTGGGGAGAAGAGACCAACTTTCCCTCACTACCCCCTCCTTTCAGGAGCTGCAGAGGGGATAAGGTCTCCCCTCAGCTCCTCTTCTCCAGCTGAACCCCCCAGCTCCCTCAGCCGCTCCCCATCATTCGGGTGCCCCAGATCCCTCCCCAGTTTTAAGAGCAGGGCAGTACAGCACTATTGGCTTTAGGGAAGAACAGCTCACAGGATCAGAGGGCTGGAGGAAGCGATTTGATGATGTGGTACCATTTAGAGCAGGACAGGAACTGTGGCTTTTAGCAGGAGAGGAAAAAAAGCTGAACAGCACAGATTAAGAAATAAGCACTTGTGGTTTGAAAGCATCTTTTGTTTCAGCACATCAAAGCACTTAAGGCCGTTCAGCTAAGAGATTCCTGTGACCTAGAATAAGGAAGGAGAGCAGGAAACTGAGGCGCAGGGACAGAAAGGCTCTGACGGAGACAAGACTGCAACAGCCTCTGCCCTAAGCCCAGGCTCACAGCAGAGGGTGGAGGAGGACCCAAAGGACCTTGTCCCTCGGTTATCTGGCAGACCAACCACAGCTCTGCTGCCCTGCAGTGGCAGCCGACAACCTCTGCTGCAGGGAGTGGCTCACTGAGGAAGCAAAACTGCATTGGAAATGAGCAAAGCACTGACTCAGGGGAAGCCTTTCCTACAGTAACTTCAGCCAGAAACACTGCTTGAGTGGGGTCCTCTCATCTGTGTTTTTACCAGTCACACAGTCCTGCCTTCCCCACCTCAACACGACAAAAAAAGTGCAAAATTAACAAGCACTGCACAAGCAGCTCAGCCAAACCATCCACTCCCTGCACACCTCAATCCCTCGCTCTTTCCTCACACACCTTGCTAACCCTGAATGCGTCCTGCAGCGCTCACAGCTTTACCTTGCACCCCTACAAGCTGTGGCTTGGTTTTGTCCTGTGCTGACTGCACAACCTCAATGCCCATCTCTGCCTTAGCAGGGATTTCTGAGGTCTCTAAAACCTCCTCAATTTAGCAGAAACAAGTAAGGATATTCAGCTTTACTGGAGCAAGATGGGAAAGAGGACAAACAGCGCTGGGAGCAGGGGCAGCACTGATGGAGGCAGGCCCAGTGGCTACATTAGAGCCCATCACCCCCAGCACAGCCACCCCGAGGAGCAGCTCGGGGTCCCCGCAGCTCTACTCACACTGGCAGCCGATCTGGTGGGTGGCATTCAGCAGGCGAACGCACGGCGCCGTTTTGTTCAAGGGGATGTAGATCTTCCTCTCCACGGAGTTACCCTGGCAGGAGCCTGGGGAGAAGACACAGCCCCGTCTCAGAGGGAGCCAAACCAGGGGCTCCTCACTTCTCAAAAGGGCTCTCCCCAGCTCAGGGAAGGGAAAGACGAGCACCTCCCCAACTCAGAGGGGACGGGCGAGCGCTCCCAGTGCCGCCATCGCAGAGGGCACCAGGCGGGGTCCTCCCTACGTCCCCCT